TTAAAATAAAATAATTATTATTTCTTTAGTTCCCCAGGTAATAGCACAGAGATGGAGAGGATGATCTGTTATCTCGGCTGCTGGAGTGAGGAGTTGCTGAACGACGTGAGCGGTTTGTAGGTGAGGATCTCACGGCGTTGACAACATCCTCCGGGCGCTGGAAACCATGTAGACTGTTGAAGAGGAAACTCTGCTCTGATAAATTTCGTCCGCTTTCAAGGCTAAAGCTATAGGATCCGAAAAATCGTCTCTCAGCAGGTGAGCTCGGACGTCTGCGGGCAACCTCTTCAGAAAGGCTCCACGAAGAAAGAAACACGGTTTGTGACCAAGAGGAAGCAGGGCGAGCATATTCGACATAAGCTTTGAAGGTTTCATGTCGCCGGAGAGAGGAAGGTTAGAGATTGCTTCGTACCGTTGATAATCGTTGAGAGCAAACAACTTCAATAAACGGTTCTTCAAGGCTTCGTAGGGGTCTGAGGACGGAGGATTCTTTATGAGATCCAGAACTTGATTTGCTGTTTCCTGGTTGAACGCAGATACGCAATAATAGAATTTGGTGGAACTAGCGGTAACTCCCTTAAGGGCGAATTGAGCCTCCACCTGCACGAACCAGGCCTCCACAGAATCTGGCCAAAAAGCTGGAACTTTCACAGAAACAGAGTTTAATAAATCCAGCGAGCTGGGTTCAGCTAGAGCATGGACGTTATCACTGTCCTTAGGCATTTTGATCACTTGGTGAGCGTGTAGCTAAAAAAACAGTCTATATGCCTATAGTTTTGAACTCGGGGTCACCAAATTTAGCTACGCTCAATTTAACAAACGCCTGGTTAAATAATTACTTTATTACTAAATTTATATACTTGAAAATCTAAAAATGTAAAAGATTTAAATAGGTAGATAGGTGACGTGGCCGGAAGTTGCTCTTCTTGCCGCGTCTAGATCTTAAGTTCAAAACTCCTCAGAAGTCTCGTCTTCCGCCACTACGCCGCCACAGTACAATCATAACTACACAGCTGATCATCATGATACCTGCCAAGGATGTAATGCAGGGAAAGTTATTTCAGAGGTGTACGCATCTTTTGTACTGCAGTGTACTGTCACTGGGCGGTAATGTAAACACAAGACGGATGTCGAAGCCTGACATGGGATCCATCTTTCACATAAATAATCAATGGCATATTCTGGTCATATGAAACTATTATGTGAATTATCAAAATTATCAAAATTCAATGCTTTAACCTCCTCGGATACTAAACGAACACTGATGCATCTATTCTTGTTTACAAATTCCGCCCAGAGAGAACTGGTTTCAATATGTACGCAGAGTATACGCAACTGCAATTAACTTTCCTTGCATTACATTCTTGATCCACATACTTTTTAATGGTTTAAATTTACAAAACAAAAAGGGTTGGATAAAAGGCATAAAAAAATATGTACATATTTGATTAGTTAGTGAAATGAGTCTGTAGACACTGCACAATTCCTATGCCTCATGTCCACTGGCCTTTTCCATGCAGACTTATTATCAAAAGTAAATGCTTTTATCCTCCTCGGATACCAGACGAACACTGATGCATCTATTCTTGTTTACAAATCCCGCCCAGAGAGAACTGGTTTCAATATGTACGCTCGAGTATACGCGACAGCAACTACCTATCCTTGCATTATAACCTTGATACCTGCAGTCTAATTCAATGTGTATAGTATGTACACATGATCTATCTATCTACTAACCCTCTTAAAGCTTGAATTGACAAGCTGACCACAATACTTGCATAATGCAGTCTGCTAAAATAGGATTACACTTTTAGTTTAATATTTTACCGCATGGTGTCTCTGACATTCTTTTTTATACCATTTTTAACTCAAACTGTCTGAATTAAAAGTTCCCGGACTTTTTACTATTTTAAACTTGATAATTTTACATCAATGTAATGGCTTAAATGATCTATTTTTGATCCTTTATCTGATTCAACATTCGTTTTAAAGCATATCATAATAAAAGCATGCACAGCAACTAATTTGCTCATTGCTTTGGTTTCTTACAGCATTGAAGGGTTCCAACATTTTATGGCAGCATTGATTGTGCTAATTTCCCAATAAACGTTCGAGCTCCCAAGCTGGCTTATCAGACACACAAGATAAATCATTAAATCAAATGTCAAGTATTAATGATGTCCATTCTTCTTGAAGAGAAACACACAAAAGCAAAATTGTGGACATAAACAATAAATTTTAGCAAAATTCCTTGATAATTCACGATGTTTTTATGACATGATTTAATTAACACATTTTTCATTTTCCTAATCCCACTTTTTGATCAAACATGTCCCATAATTCTTGAAAAAATAGATTAAAAATTGAGAAAATAAACAAAATAATTAAAAATTTTAAATGTTCTTTCAGTTTAATTTTTTTGTCTGTGTCCTCTGTTTTTTTAAAAAACAGAATTAAAAAAAATACATTTTAAGCGTGTTGTGCATTTGTTTAATTTTCATTTGTTTAATTCGTATTAACCCTATTCCGGCGGGGGGGGGCCTACGCTGTATATGTATGTATATATAAATTGATTCAAGAAATTTTTTCAATTTCCAACTATACCGTCCACACTGTTGTTTGCCACTGAAATCTGAGCGAACAAACAAAATTCTCAGATAAATTAGGATGAGCAGTTAAATATTATGAAATATTTCAG